ATTAAGCATGTTATGAGGAATCCAATGATCAAGCATGAACAAGATGAAACAAAAAAAAACACATCCTTCGATGGGTAATATGTAAGCACAAGGAAACGACATACCAAGTTTCAAGGATGTCGATTCATTAGACAGTGTTGATTTGATCTGGAGTACGAGTATATAATTCTCACGACAGTAATAGTCGTACTAGTAATTAATTATGCATGCCAATACAAAGATGAATTAATGTTACTATTTTTAGGTTTTCTCAACATACATAATTATTGTAATCACGTATTTTTTGAATTCTTGAGTACTACAAATCTTGAATCTATACAATCATTTAGGAATTATACGTAAATAAACTCAAATTTTACTTACGTGGGAGGACTTATACTCGAAATGTGTGAATTTATATTTGAACTCATAAAAAAAAAAGGTTGTTTTGTTTTAAATTGCTATGAAAAGAGCTAAATTACTTTGGAAAAATCATAGAATATTTCCGGGATATTGGACCATCTATCTTGTTCTTGTGATAATAAAGATATATATAAATATAAATACACATGTTTCTAGATAATGAATAGCATATGTTGGTAAGGCATACACGGAGAGAGAGAGAGAGAGAGAATATGCGGGGAGAAAGAGGACAAAGAGGAAGAGTACATTTCTTGGTAGGAGATAGAGAAGAAAATGAAAATAAACAAGAGGGAAGAAAATGAAGAGAGAGAATAAAAAGGGTGTGCGCAAGAAAAGACAGGGAGGCCCCGACAAAGATTTAGTGGTACGGACCAGACATCACAGTCCTTAGCCACCCCTTAATTCTCACTAAACCCCAAATATAATGCCATGCTCCTAGATTTAAGGGTTTGTTTGTTTGTTACCTTTGCTTAGAATTGGATTCCGAGAGAATGTGTCATGTGTAAAAAATACCATCAATTCTACCGAGGGAATAATTCTACTATATTTTATTCAACTAATTAAATGACATAATTTGTGTTCATATTCCTGCAAATCGACAGGATTGAGCCAGGTACAATAATACTAGTAAAGTCAGGCTGGCCCACAACAGCTTATAATGAGATTTATATTTTACTATCGATTATTAAGCTTTTCATTTTGAAATGATCAAATTCTGATGGGTTTTAATTGGTTTGTGAGGGTGAAAGGGTAAAATTTCTTCCTTATACTTGTTAGTGTATTTATTTCCCGTCATTTTATCCCACACCCCATGGAGTAAAACAGCACATAATTAATCTAAGCTAGGGGTTTAAGGGTACTATTCAAGTTGGGTTTCAATGGAACCGAAATGCTTATAATACTCACAACATCGATATCCAAAGCTGTGATAAATGGGTCCTTGGATAAACTTTATCCTATCCCAACTTTTTCTCCTTATCCAAGGATCCAAACACACCTTTTAAGACAACTATTTTGGGCCTGAAAATGTGGTTAGTTTTGACTTTGCTCATACTCGAGCAATTAGACCTATAAAAAACAAAAAAGAAAGGGTGGCTATATATGTAATCAAATACAAACAATACATCTCGGTAATTGTGATCATTCACTTGGCTGTCTAAGGTTAGGGATATCTAAACCCTACAATTTGACCCCCTTGAAATATGTGTCCGTGAGCTCTCCCTTTCAAATAAATATTAGGTTATGCCACATTAATATTGTCACGTAGTGTAACTGTTTAATAATAAATAAATAAATGAGTAAAGTAAATACTATACAACAAGCTTACGAGGAAAATTTGTTTAAATTTCCACACTAAACCTACTTACGACAATTATGTAGTATTTTTGAGAATTTTTTGTTTATGAATATTAAGTCCCAATGTTGCTAATAGAGACAATTATAAAATTCACAACATCGTTGTATGATCATCATTATCACCATAAACATAATTTTTTGCCAATTAAATTATTTCATTAATCCAAAAATATATTCAACAAAAAATTTTCATACCAAAACAAAAACATGGAATTTCTCAAGCGAGAAACTGCTTCACACATGTAAAAATATATCGTAGATGCATGCTACTTGGATATAATTTATTGATTTGATCACTCATTATTACTAAATTATCAGTGAATCCCAGTATTTGCTGGAACTCATAACTAATTCAATGGTTACGATGAATTAAATCAATAAATTGTGTCAACAAATTAGATTTTTTTAAAGCTAAAACAAATTAGGTTTAAATAGTATTATTTATGAGAATAAATTCTTTACAGACAATATGTAAACGTATTCTTTACAAACAACTAATCAAAATTTGACAGCTACACAAACTTATTGAGAATTCTCAACACTGATTTGTGTATTTGTGTAATTGTCTAATTTGTTAAAAAAATAAAAAGGTAATTGTCAAATTTTGAATTAGTTGTATGTAAAAAATTTATTCTCATTATTAATATACCATGTTGTGAATTATGATAGGACATTTTTACCATGTGGGATCTCCTGGTACGTGGGTCCCGCTGTAGTTTGATAGTTAAATTGCAACCATTAATTTTGTGGTGTATATTGCTGTCAAAATTAGTGTTATCAAAATCAGATTAGGTCGGTCGATCGGACTGATTGAACCGTAAACTGGGACTTAAAAAATGGTCTGATCCTTTAATTAGACCGCTTAAGGAATTGAACTGTTGGAGAGTCGAAAAATTGGCCTATTTTAACCAAAATTAGTGAACTAAATATTCTTAATATTGGCCGGTTCAAAGGTTAAATTTAGTCGGTAGCACTTCGTCTTCTTCGTCTCAAACAACGGCGAACATAGATCTCAAACACCATAGCTCTAGAACACCACAGATCAAGAATATCGCAGATCTAGATCTCCTCCTAAGTTGTGTAAGACTTCTTTTTCTCCTAAGTTGTGTATGCCTTCTTCTTCTTCTTCTCTTTTCTCTCTCTCTCCACAGAGACACAATGACACACACCCACAAAAAATGAAAGAAAAGTTGCTGAGTCTTCTTGTTCTCTCTCTCACATGCTGAGTTATCTCTCTCTCTCTCATATGATGGATCTTTTTTCTCTTTTTCTTTCTCTACACATGCATACACACACGATTAATATGAATAATTGAATATAAGTTAAATAGTTAATATACACCCTTTTTTACTAAGAATACACGCACACATACACATTCAACAGTCAAGTTAAGATACATAATATAATATTTGATTTTTATTGTGATTGTAAATTTTTAGTTAAATTATTATTTTATAATTTTTTTATTATATGATTGGTTCAACTAGTTAATCCAAAGGTTGAACTAATGAATTATTGACCTGATCCCTTTGCTGATTTGATGTCCGATCCAATTTTGATAATATTGGTCAAAACTCTTGAAATTGTACGGGCAAAAAGTTAAAGCAAACAAGTTATGGGTTAACCTCATATATTAGTTAGTTTTATTATTTAACAGGGGAAGTCGGCAGGTCATGTGAGCCGGATGAACAAAAAGACAAGGATGTGGGTCACATTGTCAAATTGGCTGGTCTGGTTAAAGTTAAACCCGTTAATTAGTCGGGTGTATACTAACCCAACTAAATTCCATTTCATATAACTATAGAGGCAACTTAACTATATATGCAACTTATTTTAAAAAAAGCACGATTTACAAATGAATTCAACCCACACGCATGGGTGGTCTAGTATACGAACATCATGATACAACGGAGTCTGAAGAAAGTCAAATGTATGATGTCTGATCTTGATCCCACATGCTAAATATACGCACGTCTTCAATCAAAATTAGTACTACCAACATTAAATTTTCTTTAGCAAAATTTAATAAAGAAATTGAAATTGGTTGAAAATATGTTGAATTTTTTTAACTCTTTTTTTTTTCGCATTTTTTGAAACACTATCTCAATTCCTCTCATTTTTAATGACAAAAAATCATTTTTACAACGTGTTTTTTTTGACTCATAACTATAATATAAACATCAAATTCAAGCAATCAGTTACGTACAAAACTTCATTTTCCTTTTGAGATAATTGGTGGGAATGTGATTTTAAAACAACGTTTCAAATTTGACATTTATAATAGCATATGTTATTTAAATGATTTATAGATGTAACAAATAGGCTTGACAATCGTGTGAAGTGGAACGGTTTTGTGTCGGGTGGAACGAGTTTATATCAAAAAACCCTCAATCCATACCCCATTCGTTTATATAAACGAGTCCAACTATTACATCTATACACGAATCATTTATTAGACGGGTTACCCGATATAACCCGTGTATCACTAGCTAAATAAGATAATAGATTAGAATATTTCGAGTACACACATTACATATGTTTGACTTATTTACTATAACAATAAATCAAGGTTGAGCAAAAAAATAAAAACAAAAAATAAACATTAAATGACAACTAAATATGAATGAGTTTAAGAGATAGGAGGTGTGAGATGAAACAGAGGCTTAGAAATCTAACTTTTTTTAAAAAAAATTATAGTACAACTATTAACGGGTTAAACGAGTTAAAATGAGTTTATGTGTTAAATACGAAACCGATTCATTTATTTTACGGGTCTGTCGAATTATCCCGTTAATCACCCCGAATCTATTAAGATTACATCCAAATTCGCTAAATTCGTGTCAGATTCATGTCTAGAATTGTCAGGTCTAGTAACAAATGAGAAAGTTAATGGAAAATAGGGTGAAAAATTAGCCTTTCCTCTTTGTAAATGAATCTACCAAAATGGGAAGATGAATGCCAAAAATGACCCAACTCAAGAGTTTCACTTAAACATACCAACTAGCTTGTAATAGTATTAGTGCGCATATATATATCCACCCTGAAAAAAATGCCATGCACCTAGCTTGAAATGATGGAACTATGGTACACTTACTGTCACTATAGAGGGATCCATCTTTTTTTTTCTTTAGCTTTTTTACTCAATAGAATTGCAACCACCTTTTTCTGCCCCACTTTGATGATAAAGCAAAAGAATAAGAAAAGCAAAGAGAGAAAAGAAAAACATAAAATAATTGAAAAAAGAAGGGAAAGGGGGACGTAATAAAGAAACGAGAGAAAGAGAGGAAACAAAGACAAAGGTCCTCAAAACCTCATGATCAAAACTCTCTCTCTCTCTGTCTCTCTAGGACTTTGTGAGCTTTCCTCTACTTAATCAAGAGTTGGAATAGCTTTGAAAGTTTCTACAGAGAACTGTTTAGGGAGCTTCATAAAAAGATAAAGTAAAAGAGAAAAGAAAGAAAGTGAGAGAAAGCAAGGGATTTTTTTTTATCAGTTGGTTACTGAGGAAACAATGAATCGAGGTGTTTTGCAGAGTTCACCGGTGCAACAATTGGTGGCCGGAAGCCCTAATTGGTGGAACATCAATCACATGAGGCCACCACCTCAACAGCCCTCTCCTTTCTTGGTTCCTACTCCACAGTTCTTCCCTCAATACACCCCACCACCTTCATGGCATGATAACCAGGAGTTTCCAGAGTCTTTGAGCCAACTACTCCTGTAAATCTCTCTCTCTCTCTCTCTCTCTCTCTTGTAATTGGATAAGTGGCCCTTTGATTTCAAACAATACAAGCATGTGTTTCAGACTATAAATCGATACCCAGGAACATGCTTCTCATCTTTGTTGTTTCAATAACGTTTACAAAGCAACTATTATGATCCAGATTTTGAATAATTGCCGATTTCTCTCTCACTCTCTCTCTCTCTCTCTCACACACACACAAAAATAAGAGCTACATGGCTTTCTTCACAACTTTTCTGTATCCATGTACTTTGACCTAGTTATCCTTGAGTAACTTTCATGAGTTAGCCCTCTAATATGCACGCTGTGGGTGCACACACACACACACATGCTTATGTTTTCTGCTTTTGATATTATGCTGAGAATTGAGATTATGATGGCGGTTTTATAGGGGTGGCTTTGTGGGTGAAGTAGACAAATCTGGTTTGAGCCGCTTACAGGCCAAGAAGTTGGAGAATTGGGAAGAACAACTATTACACCAAGCTCAAAATGGTTCTGTTGAAGTAAAACCAGAGAACTTAGCAAGTAGCTATGTGTATGGTCATGGAAATGTAGAGTTCCAGGCCCCTAAACCCACTTGGTCTCAAATGGTTCCAGCTTCATCTCCCAAATCTTGTGTTACAAGTTTAAATACTAGCATGTTGGATTTCTCTTCTACCACGCCAGATGGGAGGCACCCACCACCGGATCATTCCTCAGAGGTATGCAGAAAGATGTTAATCAAAGGCATTTCAAGTAGTTGTAGTAAAACTTGGTCTGTAATCCCCTTTGGTTTTTCACAAACGTATTAAAATAATTGTCGACGTTGAGACTTGAGACCATAATAAATGCACAATTTTTGTCTTTCTTCGAGGCAAATTCAATTTTGAGGTTTTTTACCGAACTGCAAGAGAGAGAGAGAGAATTTCCTTTTTTTGAGAATTTATTAGCGTTTGGAGATCAATTTTTAAGATTTGTATCATGTGGGCTTTATTTGATAATTTCTTGGTTGTTCAAAGTTTATCCAATTGCTATTTTAGCTATCAGAATTGGTTATGACCCAGTAAATCTGTTTTGAAATGATCCATGTTCTAAAGATGTCTTAGAAATGAACTAGTTTATCTGATTAAATAAGTGGCCAATAAGGATTCTTATTGTATCCTTTCTTCTTTATGTGAAGTGCAACAGTACTGCCACTGGTGGGGCAGCTAAGAAAGCTAGGGTTCAAGCATCTTCAACTCAATCTACATTCAAGGTAAATACACAACTCTCCCTCTCTCTCTCTCTCTTTCTCCCGCTCCTCTTCATCCAGCTATCTTCTATCTCTCTTCTCATTTTCATCTTTGGAAGATAGCTATTGTCTTTCTTGATTGTCCATTTCTCCAAGCAAGACGATTCTCTTGCTCTCTCTTAACATCCACACAAGAAGGAAACAAAAATCTCTCTACAAGATAAAAAAAAAGTGAAGTAATTATTGCAAGCAAGTTCTCATCTGATGTTTTCTATGCCAATAATATCTTCAAACAGGTGAGGAAGGAAAAATTGGGTGACAGAATAACCGCCCTTCACCAGCTAGTTTCCCCCTTTGGGAAGGTAATTAAGCTCAAAAGAAAGCATTTAGTGATCCTAATGACTCAGGCTTACCACACAATAATATAATAGTGCGCAAGTAAATCTTTCTGAGGAAACCAAGAAAGATGAGTTCTTTTCAAAGTTGAAAGTTCTCTTTCTTCTTCTTTTGTATTTTTACCATCTAGGATTTTCTCTTTTAATCATTAAAGAAGACAACATAATTGATTTTTGAGAAGCAATAACCAAAGTTCAAACATAGCATATTGAATTTTTTTTCCTCACAATACCATCATTTTAAGCTTATTTTTCATATTACTGTAGTTTTGATGAAAGTGTATATTGAATTCTTGTTTTCCGATGTAATAGTGTGTTTGCAAAAAAAAGTCTCTAGGTTTCATTTGTTGAAAACGTATTTTGAAAATACAATTTTACATTAAAAAGCATAGATTGAACCTACGGGAATTTTATAGGAAACAAAATTCCAAATTTAGTGTGAATGTAAAAAAAAAAACTCTTATTTTTGATGTTTTTATTTTTTTTTAACTTCTCTTTTGCAGACTGACACAGCTTCTGTCTTGTTAGAAGCTATTGGATATATTAGATTTATTCAGAATCAAATTGAGGTGATGTTTCTTCATCTTTTATTGATGCAAACTACCATGAGGCAGTGATGGAGCATATATATAGTTAAAGTTTCACTCCCTTTTTAACAGTCTTTAGTTATTAAAGTTCTCAAATTTTATTCCTTTCTCTTCTCCCCCTTGAAAGCAGGCCCTTAGCTTACCGTACTTGGGCAGTGGATCAGGAAACATGAGGCAGCAACAGTCTGTAAGCAACCATATATAAAACTTATTTTTCTCGCTTCCCAAAGCACCAACACTCTCTCTCTCTCTCTCTCTCCCCGTGTGCGAAAATAGAACAATATTATATGAATTTAAAAAATAAATTTAAAAATTAGACGTAATAATTTTAACCATTGATTTTATTGTGGGTCCCAACTTTTATTGAAATCCACTACCTATTCAATGGTAGAGATTATCAAATTTAATTTTTAGGTCTATCTAACATTACTCGTGGGAATAACATTATAATATCCAGAAAAGAAAAATTTATACCATACAAAAAAATGATTCTTTGTTCGTTAATATAATAAAATAAAATAAATTTTTTATGTGTCTGATGAAATGAAAAAGAAAGTATGGGTTTTTGGAATCTTAGTCTGTAGAACTGTAAATATGAGTATGTGCAGGTGTATGTTTTGTTAATTATGGCATGGGGTATTAATTGATTAATCATTATACTTTCTTAATAGGTTCAAGGAGAGAGGAATTGTTTATTTCCTGAAGACCCTGGTCAGGTATGCTTTATTGGATCCATTACCTTCTCAAAGCTAAGCTTGCTTGCAATTGAAAAAGCCACAAACTTACTGTAACTTCTCAGAGACTGTTTCAAACACAAGATTTCCAGCTTTATACTCTTTTAATGTTTAGTTAAATCCATCAAAATAATTAATAGTAACTAACCTAATTATTAATTTTCATTTGAATCATGCAATGCTGATATACAAAATAATGAAATTGCTAATTATTTCCTAATGTTGTGTCTCAAATTAGCTGTTGAATGATAACTGCATGAAGAGGAAAGGAGCTTCTGAGCAGGTACTTATAACCTGACATATAAAATCAAGATCATAAACGGATCGAATTCAAAAACTTCATCATTAATTTAAAAAAAGAATTACAAATTTTTAATTAAAAATTATCTGATTTAATAAATCATTTAGAAGTTAATATTAATAGATTACATCTGAATTCAACTCAACTCATTGCATACATGCTAGGTCATAATGGGATCCAATATTTGAAACATGTATAACGCATTCAAATTTGAAACATTAGGAAAAAACATCACTCCGCATCCAACCAATAAGCTTAAGATTAGAAATGTAATCCAGTACATTGATAGCCTAGTCCAAAAAATCGATCCCATTACATTAATTTTTTTCAAAATATATAAACTACAAATTAATCAAATATTAAATGATTAAATATATGATATAAATGAGTGATATGATGTTTTTAGGGAAGAAATATATAAATGATTAATCATATGATAGAAATAAGCGATGCGATTTGATATTAGAGTCTGACAAATGGATGATGGGTGAGGTAAGTGATTGATGATAGTTTTGAGCGAAAAAATATAACTGAAATAAAATTCAAACGCACTCCTGTTTTATTATATATATATAATATATATGTGTTTCAATCTCATTGTGATTTAGTTAGACTGATAAATAATTATAAATATGTTTTAGGATCCTCAAGAAGAACCCAAGAAGGACCTGATAAGTAGAGGGTTGTGCCTGGTTCCCATATCATGCACATTGCAAGTTGGGAGTGACAATGGTGCAGACTACTGGGCTCCGGCGCTCGGTGGAGGTTTCTGATGAACGAGGGTTTTGGCCACGGAGGCCGGCACACACCAGAGCTTCATAAATATGATATAACATCATGAGCAGTCAATCTGCTAAAACCTAAGGCTGATTGCTCATGATGCTATGCATTCTTAGTTGGAATTAAGTGTGCTGTAATATGTTATATTTAGGGGGGCTTTCAAAGTCCTTACAACCCTTTACCTAACTTTATTATCTCTTTCTCTCTCTTCATCGGCTGGTACAATGCTTTCATGTATGTATATGCCGTTTTAGTATGATTAATCATTTCAAATGCAGCTTCTGCAGCACTTATTTTCTCGGTTCACCTTTTTTTTTTTTTNCACCAACACTCTCTCTCTCTCTCTCTCCCCGTGTGCGAAAATAGAACAATATTATATGAATTTAAAAAATAAATTTAAAAATTAGACGTAATAATTTTAACCATTGATTTTATTATGGGTCCCAATTTTTATTGAAATCCACTACCTATTCAATGATTGAGATTATCAAATCTAGTTTTTAGGTCTATCTAACATTACTCGTGGGAATAACATTATAATATCCAAAAAAAGAAAAATTTATACCATACAAAAAAATGATTCTTTGTTCGTTAATATAATAAAATAAAATAAATTTTTTATGTGTCTGATGAAATGAAAAAGAAAGTATGGGTTTTTGGAATCTTAGTCTGTAGAACTGTAAATATGAGTATGTGCAGGTGTATGTTTTGTTAATTATGGCATGGGGTATTAATTGATTAATCATTATACTTTCTTAATAGGTTCAAGGAGAGAGGAATTGTTTATTTCCTGAAGACCCTGGTCAGGTATGCTTTATTGGATCCATTACCTTCTCAAAGCTAAGCTTGCTTGCAATTGAAAAAGCCACAAACTTACTGTAACTTCTCAGAGACTGTTTCAAACACAAGATTTCCAGCTTTATACTCTTTTAATGTTTAGTTAAATCCATCAAAATAATTAATAGTAACTAACCTAATTATTAATTTTCATTTGAATCATGCAATGCTGATATACAAAATAATGAAATTGCTAATTATTTCCTAATGTTGTGTCTCAAATTAGCTGTTGAATGATAACTGCATGAAGAGGAAAGGAGCTTCTGAGCAGGTACTTATAACCTGACATATAAAATCAAGATCATAAACGGATCGAATTCAAAAACTTCATCATTAATTTAAAAAAAGAATTACAAATTTTTAATTAAAAATTATCTGATTTAATAAAATCATTTAGAAGTTAATATTAATAGATTACATCTGAATTCAACTCAACTCATTGCATACATGCTAGGTCATAATGGGATCCAATATTTGAAACATGTATAACGCATTCAAATTTGAAACATTAGGAAAAAACATCACTCCGCATCCAACCAATAAGCTTAAGATTAGAAATGTAATCCAGTACATTGATAGCCTAGTCCAAAAAATCGATCCCATTACATTAATTTTTTTCAAAATATATAAACTACAAATTAATCAAATATTAAATGATTAAATATATGATATAAATGAGTGATATGATGTTTTTAGGGAAGAAATATATAAATGATTAATCATATGATAGAAATAAGCGATGCGATTTGATATTAGAGTCTGACAAATGGATGATGGGTGAGGTAAGTGATTGATGATAGTTTTGAGCAAAAAAATATAACTGAAATAAAATTCAAACGCAATCTTGTTTTATTATATATATATATATATATAATATGTGTTTCAATCTCATTGTGATTTAGTTAGACTGATAAATAATTATAAATATGTTTTAGGATCCTCAAGAAGAACCCAAGAAGGACCTGATAAGTAGAGGGTTGTGCCTGGTTCCCATATCATGCACATTGCAAGTTGGGAGTGACAATGGTGCAGACTACTGGGCTCCGGCGCTCGGTGGAGGTTTCTGATGAACGAGGGTTTTGGCCACGGAGGCCGGCACACACCAGAGCTTCATAAATATGATATAACATCATGAGCAGTCAATCTGCTAAAACCTAAGGCTGATTGCTCATGATGCTATGCATTCTTAGTTGGAATTAAGTGTGCTGTAATATGTTATATTTAGGGGGGCTTTCAAAGTCCTTACAACCCTTTACCTAACTTTATTATCTCTTTCTCTCTCTTCATCGGCTGGTACAATGCTTTCATGTATGTATATGCCGTTTTAGTATGATTAATCATTTCAAATGCAGCTTCTGCAGCACTTATTTTCTCGGTTCCCCTTTTTTTTTTTTGAACCAATTAGATTACCACTAACATGTTTTATTTTCATTATTTTCACATGTATTATTGACATAATTTGTTAACCTAATTCATTATAACATTTGGATTGACTGTAAGACCTATCAAACATTGAAATTTAGTGTTCATCCAATTATTCTACTAAAATCACGTTATTTTTTTTAATAAATAACATTCCATTAATCATCAACACAAGGTAGACAAAATACAAACCGGAGCAACTTCCCTCCAAATAATCTGATCATTATAGTGTAAAGCAAACTTACTTCGAATCCACGTAGAAGAAAAGGTAGAACAATTCTCAGCTAACCTCTGGATTTGGTTGATAAAGTCACATTATTAGATCAGCAAATTAAGTCAAAATTTTAAATTCAAATACCATTACGATATTTTTGAGGCATAAGGCCTGGCTTTGGTGTGGGGTAAAGTTATTTTAGGTGGTCTTAAGATTGAGCAATGCTATTTGGGACATAAGTGATCGACATAATTTATTACAATAATTAGGTTGACTGTTGGTCTCATTAAACGTTAGAACTTGATGTTAATTTAATGATTATAATGAAATCACATCATTAAGTCCATAAATTAAATTAAAATGTTAGGTCTAAATAATATTATTGAAGAAGAATATATATTTCTAATCTTCTCTATATCCTGCAAAAATCTGAGACTCATATACTAAGTTGCTCTTTATTGATCTTTTGTTGGTTTTGCCTAGCAATTAATTAACACGGATAACAGTTGTTAGGAGATATGAACTGAAAAATGAACAAAACACAAAAATATCCATGGCTGAGTACACAAAAAAAACTTACATGATATATATATATATGTTCCTATCCGATCTCTAATAAGCTTATTAATCACATATTAGAATTCTTCCAATATGTTTACTATCCAACATGGGATTCTCATGTATGATATCTCAACATATTTTTTACTCATCTAACTAGTGGAACGTGACCATAAATTTCATAATTTTTCGAATCAATTAATATTTGAGATGAAAATCTAAACATTAGAACAACTGGTATTGATGGGACGTTTCTGTGATCAAGGGGATGTGACACGTGTCCTCGACATATTGGCTGTGGAATATTTTTTGAATGGCACGTGTACTCGACATCTTGTTCGCAGAGTGTTCTTTGGATGACATCCGTCCTTGGCATCATGTCTGCGGAGTCTTTGGCATCTTGTCCACGAAGTGTTATTCGAATACCCACGGAGTCCTTGACATATTGTCCGCGGAGTCCTTCAATATCTTGTCCACGAAGTATTCTTTGAATAATACGTGTCTTCGGCATCTTGGCTGCAGAGTACTCTCCACATGACACGTCATCTCGGCGTTAAGTCTTCCACGACATCTTGGTTGTGGAACACTTTCTACATGATACATCACCTCGGCGTTAAGTCTTACACATCGGCAAAGCATGGATAAGTGTTCTTGATGGTTATCATGACTTGGAAGCAGAGTGGGTTGTCAATGATCAGTTTTCCATTTTCAAACCAGCCAGAATGACAGGAAAGACAGTCCGATAACCAATGGTAAAGATGTACAAAGTACAAAGTTTTGAATGTTGGCCCCTTGGAGGGGTAATGGATGAAAGTGCCCCTACACGTAAACATTAAATGACCCGTCAAAAAAGATGGGACACATTTATTACTCGGCCGATCTCGGAAGGAGAGCATTAAATGCTCGGGGAACTAAGCATTAAATGTAGAAACTTCTTTCCACATGAAAGGAAGACATTTTACCCTAGGACTGTGCACCACAGGTCACCTTCCATATAGGCCAATAAGGGATCTTCGCCCCAAGGAACCTACCTGTCCACAATGATTAGCTCTATGGAGAAATAAATAGCTCTCACAAACTTGAAACAAAGGTGCGCAAAATCTCACCCAAGTAATATAACAGTGTTTTCCATCACTCTCTCACACATTGACTTGATCGTCGGAGGGGTCATGCCGAAAAACACTTCAACACCCTTCTAACCTTTCTTTTTAAGTGATAGAGTTCATTTCGACACGCCAGGACCAATTTGACCGCCAAAAAAGTAATTCACCACCATTCCTTATACCATCTCCCATATCCGTTTGCTACGGGACCATCGACTTTCCAAGTAAAACTTGTATCCACTATGAGAGAGATTTTTCTATTCATTTATTGTGCAAAAATTATCGCTCACAATTTAGCGTCGTCTGTGGAAAATCGACCAAGTTTTCTTGAGATAGTGACCATGTTGGATAGGCGTTTAAAAGAAAAGAGCCCTCAGCAAAGAAACATAGACGCACTGGCTTCTTCCATATCGAGAACGAAAGATCTCATTGAAAGCATCAACAAGGAGCTTTAGATTCATTCTAGAGAGAAAACCCACCAAACTTAATTGAGTCTTGGGGGCAAAAAGGACGGCCCCTTCACCCATAAACTTGTTGATCTCATCAAAGAATGGTTAGGGGATCGATTAAGGCAGATAGAGAAAAATAACATGAATGTTCTTAACAAACTCAACAAGTTTGCATTCTCCGATGGGGGATCTCAAAACTTACAACCATCTAAGGAGCCCTCCGTCAAGGGAGTGGAAGTCGACAACTTGAGGAATCATCTCAGCGACGAAGCAGGGGCCTCTAAATCTCCAAAATGCCCGAGGGCCAATGGACAGGACCCGAAGGTCCCAGCCAAAGGGTCAAACATTTGGCTTAAAATGACCTTCATCGAAGACTGTACAGGCGAGGGGGTGTGAAAAAGTCCAAGGAGGGGTCAATCCTCTCCTTGAAGAACGGAGGAGTTGGGGGCATGTTGCCCATCGCGACGATGGCGAGAGGAAACACCACAAGCATAAGGGAGACCTTAAATCCAAGTTGGACTCCATGTGGATGGAAAAGTCCACCCCTAATGGCAATATAGATGACGAAGCCATTTTGTCACTGTTCACCAAAAACATCAAGGAGATAGAGGTACCAAAAAAGTTTGTGGTGCCACAATTCAAAGTACATGATAGATGTTCTGACTTGGAGGCTCATCTCAGATAATACAAGCAAATGATGTCCCCATATCACTCATATCATAGGTTATTGTGTCGTG